TGGGACAACATGCACTAATGGTAATAATTACGACATGTATTTAGTACTATGCTTCCTTTATTGGTTTGTTGGTTTTGTTTTGGTGTGGTATGCATGTGGTTTATAATTTTGTTATAGATATGTCATACTAACTAAAGAATTTTTATGTCTATTTTGCATAGTGTACCAAAAATGAATCATTAATATTTTTCAATAAAAACCCTATAAGATATGACTTATAATTTTTTTTAATATTTTTCCCGATTTCCACTCATTTGAAAAATTATAACCCTATTTTTTAAATAAAATTCATTAATTCATGCATTTAAGGGTTAAAGTATAAAAAGCGATTTCGAATATTCGATAACAAATTGTAGCACTTGATCGGTATTATAACTGTTCCAAGCTTGCCATGTTTTCGCATTACATCCCATTGTATCGCATAATGACGTTATTAATAGCGAGTGTGCGTTCTAATGATGAACGAACGATGACATTTATCTTATGTAATCGCTATAATCAGCGACATTATTAAAACGGGACAAATTCTGGTATACGTACATATATGACAAATAAAATGGATCGAAAATATAGTTCACCCCTTGATATTTGTTACGCTAGTTTTTTTACATATTAAAAATAATGTTAATACCTATTTCTCGACTTTTATTAATGTTCACTGCATGACAGAAAATACTAATCGCATTGCCGGAAGGGAAATAGCATTGGATATTATAACGGACACATTAATTACAAGGCTTAAGCTCTAATGAGCTGTTCAGGATATTTTGAACTGTTTTAAATTCTTTAATCAGAAACCGCAGGAAAGCAATTTATTTATTACTGGAGTCCGGATCGGTATGCGAATTCTCTTTTACGTATTTCATTTTAGAAAAATTAGATTCAAAGAAATATTTGCTTCGTCGACTAAAAAATTACTCATTGCAAACAAAACCAACAATGCTATTAGATTTTGTTAATTTTATACCCTTTCTTGCATTATCATAAACGTTTAAAACTAAGCCTTCGATTAATGCTGAAACATTGTTGACCACATGCATTTATGGTAGAAATAAGTAGATGAAATATGAAACAGCAATATGTTAGAAGAATTTGAGGATTCTGCTGTGCGACTTATTAAAATTATTGCGGGAAAAGATCAATTTATATAAGTCTTTGATAGTAACACACATTTACGAATCATTTAAAGAAATAATTTATAAATAATTTTATAACGATTCAATATTTCACAACACGGAAAGTTCTTTAATAATTTTACAATGATTCAATATTGGTGTCTAAATTCTACACCGTGACAGATTTATAAATAATTCGATAATGATTCAATATTAATGTCTAAATTCCACAGTGCAGAAAATTGACAAATAATTCTATAATGATTCAATATTGTTGTCTAAATTCCTCACTGCGCGGGTTTATAAATAATTCTATAATGATCCAATATTGATGTCTACATTTCGCACTGCAGGAAATTTATGTATAAATAATTTCATAATGTTCCAATGTTGATGTCTAAATTACACACTGTAGAAATCAGCATTCTTTATTTTCAAATGAAATTAAAACAAAAGGCTTTGTAAACGATGGTTCTCATGACTTTTGCATTCATTCAAACAACATCCATAATTATACAAATATGTGAACGATAGTTTCGTAAAATTTTCGCAAAGATGGAGATAAAATCAACGATGAAGGAAACTCGTTCGTTTGACGTCGAAATAATGCATCGCCTTCTTTAACAAAATACACGGACTGAGAGCATGCTTGTTCTGTTGCAGTTGACACCAGTTGGTTCTACTATCTTCAAAAACATCGTCGCCGTGGACGCCGATGCTGGTGTAAATGGCATCGTCGAGTATTCGATCGCCCCTGGAGACGGGACTGGGATTGGCAACAATGACGGAGTCGGTCGAAATAGAATTACAACCGCCGATGGATACGGTTATTTCAGCATCAACTTACCTCATCAAGGCCAAGTTACTGTTAACCGTACCCTCGACTTCGAGAAAACGCAGAGATACCTCGTCACCATTTTGGCTTCGGTAAGTCACACTCTGCTTTCCATATTAAATTCGAATACTATGTTTTTCTTCAGCCACCTTTCTTTAGTATTTTAGCATTAGATCTTCGGATCTTGATTGAGAGTAATATCTCGATGGATTCTATTGTCAGCCATCAAAATTCATTCAAACCAGTCAAAGTTCCAAATTGCAGCTTTACTAATCGTGTAGAACTTTCATGACCAAACTGCGAATTTTATGCATTTATGACAAAAAGGAGTATGTCAAATACGAAACTAAATGAATATTAGAAGAATTTAATCGTATTGTTACATTATTTTCGATTTATTACGATTGTTAAGGGAGGAAAGATATTTTCAACTAATTTATATGTCTTACAATTAACTTAAACGATTTTTATTCTGCATGAAGATCCGCAGTCTAACGATGAACTTATGCATTTATGTGAAAAATGAGTAGCTGCAGTTTGAGACTAATATTTACTAATCACTCCAAAATAAATAATGTCTGCATCGATTGTAAGACGAGCCAAGCACAATTTTCTTTCGTCAAAAATTTTTAATTTCATTTAAACGGTATTTTTAGTTTCTTTCAATCGTTTCACCGCTTTCAGTTTCACTCATCCGTTTTTATTGACAGAACATATGAAATTTTCGAAATTTACCTGCAATAAACTTAAAAAATTTATATTGCGCACAGTGATTTGCAGTCTGTCTATGATTGGAAGACTACATACTTAATTTTTTCACATTTCCAATTTCTGATTTTTTTTATATTAAACATAAGAGAAATGTTATCTGTGAAGCGATAAGAACGTTTACAGCATTAACCCCTTAACGCGCAGAAACGTATTAACACGGGCGTGCAAAACCGGCCAAAATGTGCAGACCCGTATATATACGGTCGGCGTCGCAACTTATGTCGCTAAAATGTTCAGATTCGAATATATCCGGGCAGTAAAAATAACTTAATAAAAACCAAGGAAAACATTCAATTTATTGATATTCATCGTGTAATTCTGTATTGTAAGCTGTAAAGTTTGTTTATTTGGGATTATAAAATATGGCCTTTTAGGGTGA